ATGGTAATGGTTATATGTGACCCCAAGTCACTGTGCTGGTGATAAGTGTGCATTGCAGGCATAAAAAAATCTGTTATACCATACATAACTAAACGAGGGCTAAGAAAAAAGGTCAATTTTTCAACTTTTTATTTTTGACATAAAAATGCACTTTTCTAGACGAGCTTTGTCCCAGGAATCTAGTGGTGCCATTTGTTTTTACATGCGATGTTCAAAAGTGCCTCTAATTCACGAAAATGCTTATGACGTCACCATGCCCTATGCATGTTGGAGCTATTTTTTACAATTTGGGGGTCAAAAATCAAGATAGAAAGCTGAAATTTGGGACATCTAATGATCTAATACAGCTCTATAACATATACTCCGGTTTTTTGGAAATTTCCAAAATTTTGGATTTTATTAGCTGTTTTCCAAAAATTAGAGTTTTTTGAATTTTTAGGGGTAAAAAACGCATTTCATGGAAAATCCGAGATAGCCATTTTAAAGAACTCGTTGAGTTGCGTCTACTCATGTCTTTAATTTGCAATTTGCTTCAACCCTCGATTTTTGGCGATTTTTTAAACATTTACCACTTTTTGACTGAAAACGCCATGTAGTTGCATCACTAAAATCGATATATCTAAAAAAAAATTGGAAAATTTTTCTTAAAAATTGCACAGAAGACGTCAAATTGATGGGGGAGAAGGTATGCCAAGTTTCAAGTAGATAGCATAAGCGGTTCGTGAGTTATTCAAGAAAAACGGAGGGGGGGGGGGGGGTCGGATCCGACCCCCCCCCCAGGCGGTCGCGGGTTAACCCGCGTCCCGCTGGGGGGCAGGGCCGAATCTACCCTCCCCCCGTTTTTTTTTGCCAATAACTTCTAAACACGTTATGCCAGCAACGTTAAGCTCTCAAGACCTTATCATACATCAATTTGACACGTTCCCTGAAAATTTCAGCGAAATCCATTGGAATATTTTTGCGAAAATGACGTTCTAGTGACCTCATGTCACGCCATTTTTGGTTCAAAAACTGCAAAACATCAAACGCCTCTAACATTCTTAATTTGTAAGAAATTAGAACGTTACAGAAAAGGATGTATACCCTATTTTACTTTGCCTTCTAAATGACCGTCTCGATTTTTTGAAATTTTTGGTTTTTGAACCAAAACTTTAAAAAACTGATTTTACGGGTAAATCATAAATCCAAAATTTTGGGTTTATCGAAAAAACGGAATACCTATATGCTAGGGAAGTAGTATCTGTGCACATACATTTCAATTTTTAGAAGAATCGGCTCAGAAATGTTACTAAGTTATTCAAATGTTTATGACGTCACGATACACAACATTTTCCAAAAAAAGATTCTTTTTCTAAGTTCTACACCTCGTACTGAAACAAAAATAGCACCATTCGATTCGTTGTGTAAAACTGCATCAGCTAGACACCTCTTTGGGTCTTAACAATCAACTTCAAAATTTGACCTAACTTGACCTAAACTCGACCTGACCTCGACTAAAAGTCATCCAAATGTGGTCCATATCATTAATTGAATGTGTCCATTGAGTTATATGAATAAAATGACCCATAAAAATGCGTCGCACATGTTCTATTCTATATTTCGATTTTTTTTGACCTGACCTGACATTGAAGTTGACCTTTGTATGCCATTGAAGGCGACGAGTCTTGTCTTAATACCTACTCTAAAAACACGTTTTTGATCATCAATCTCTGTCCATTGTTCGCCAACTGCGCTCCGAAGCCGACGATGTAGTAACTTCAATTTTGTACCCTTGACCTGCCCTTGACCTGACCACTGACCTACTTATGCAAAAAAAAAAATGCTCCAAAGGTCCGTCTTGTTGAGAGCTTTTGATTGCAGTTTTCCCCGTCTTTCTATGGCCATCGGTTCGGAAGTTGGACATCGAAAAAAATAACAGAATATGCCCCACCCCTCCCCAGCAGGGCGCGTATGGCCGAAATAGCCCAGCGGAGCACTGGTTAACTACCAATTGACATAACTAAAGCAGTCTGATTTTCATTGCCTTCATGTGCATATGAAAAAGTATACCTAAAATAAATTACACAAAAGAATGTTCCATTAACGGAGCTGCTTTATTCCACCAATATGCAAGAACCATGCTTAGTTTAAATTCGCTTCAGGCTCCTATGAGTGCAAATCTTTTAGATAACGCATCACATGACTTAACCCGCGCCCCGCTGGGCTATTCAGCCATACGCGCCCTGCTGGGGGGGGGGGGGGAAGGCAGATTCTGCCCCCCCCCCTGTCTAACTTCCGAACCGATGGTCGTAGAAAGACGGGGAAAACGGCAATCGAAAGCTCTCAACAAGGCGGATCTTAAGAGCCCAATTTTTTTTTTGCTTCAGTAGGTCAGAGGTCGGGTCAAGGTCAGGTCAAGGGTACAAAATGCAAGTTTCTACAGTATCGGCCTCGCACCGTAGTTGCCGAAGAATGGAGTGAGATTGATTGCCCAAAACGTGTTCTTAGACTACCAAGACAATATTCGTCGCATACAGTGTCATTCAAAGGTCAAGGTCAAGGTCAGGTCAGGTCAGGTCAGGTCACCAAAAACAAAATATAGAAAAGGGCATGTGCGACACATGTTTTATGGGTCATTTTACTCATAGAATTCAATAGGCACACTCAATAAGTGATATGGACCACCTCTGGATGAATTTCAGGTCGAGGTCAGGTCAAGGTCAGGTCAAGTGAGGTCAAATTTTGAAGTTGGTTGTTAAGGCCTAAAAAGGTGTCTATCCGATGCAGTTTTTCACGGCAAATCGAATGGTGCTATTTTTATTTTCTTACGAGGTCTAGAACTTCAAAAAAAATCCTTTTTCAAATATTTTCTGTGTCGTGACGTCATAAAATTTTGAATAACTCCCGAATTTTTTAACTGATTATTCTAAAAATTGGTATGTAGGTGCACATAGACCACTTCTCTGACATATGTTCGTTTTTTTATACACTCAAAATTTTGGATTTTATAAATATTTTCCCAAAAATCAGTTTTTTGAAAAATTGGGCTGAAATCCAAAATTTTCAAAAACCGAGATAGCCATTTGGTAGACAAAGTAGAATCACGTATAACCTTTTTTGTTAGGTCTTGATTCCTTTAAAAATGAAGATGTTAGCGGCGTTTGAAATTTTGCCGTTTTTGAGGCAGAAATGGCGAACATGACGTCACTAAAACGTCAATTTCTCAAAAAATTTCCGACGGATTTCGCTCAAATTTTCAGGGAACGTGTCAAATTGATGTATGATAAGGTACTGAAAGTTTGACGTCGCTGGCGTAATGCGTTTAGAAGTTATTGGCGAAAAACGGGAGGGAGGCAGATTCTGCCCCCCCCCCCCCAGCGGGGCGCGGGTTAAGCCCGTTTCTCATTAAGCGTAAATTAAGCATAATGTAAACGAAACGTTAACCAAACGTAGAGCAAACGTGAAGTCAAAATAGGTAAAGCATAGAACCTAATCCTACCTAGCATAACAAAAACAAAAGTACAAATTTAACCCGCGCCCAGATGGGGTCTGCCGAGCAACGCGGTCTGATGGGGGGGGGCCATTTTGGCCCCCCCTCAGATCTCGAGAACCACGCAACATAGCGACAAGCGGTAAACGGTGTTGGATAGCCCCAGCGGGGAACTACCTTGTGACCCAATTTCATTGACCTCGGTCAAACCGATGACGTCACAGGTCAGGTCAAAGGTCGAATTTTCACCGTTTACAGGCATTTCAAGAAATGCGTTGTAAAATCGAGTAAAATGCATTTCATTGAAAATCATCGATGGAGAAATGTTCTTCAAACACATATTTTGCTATTTGAGGTCACGATACCAGGTCAGGTCACAGAGGTCAGGTCACTGGGGGGGTCATAATATGAAAGTGTCGTGTGATACATGTTTTATGGTCCATTTTACATGACAAATGCGATTATGTGGGTCAGACAGACTTTAGGGCCAGCTTAGGTCACGTTTTGGTCAAGGTCAGGTCAAGGTCAGGTCAAGGTCAGGTCAAATTAGGTCAAATTTCAAAGTTGATATTTTTGCATAAAATGGGTATCGATTCGATGCAGCTCGTCACGGGGAGTTCAATGGTGGTCTCCGTTTTGCGCTACGAGGTCTAGAATTGCTAAAAATTGAGTTCAAAAATTTGACGTCATCAATTTTTAACAGTTTTTTCGCAATAACTTGGCCAAAAAAAGAGGTATCGATCTAAAATTTGGTATGTATATCGAAGAGCGCAGGGACTATCACATATATTCCGGTTTTTTTCGAAATTCGAAAAATTTTTGGAATTTTTTTGAGTTTTTCTAAAAAAAATCATTTTTTTTATTTTTGGGGGTCAAAATCCCAAAATTTCGAAAATCCGAGATAGCAGTTTTGTAGCGCCGTCTTTTCTCTACACAACCACATAAAGAACTTTAAAATTGCTTGTTAACTGTAGAATTGGTGAGCGTTTCAAGATGTCATGTTTTTTGCTCATTTTTGCTCGAACATGACCTCAGTTTGACCTCAATAACTCCTGACCTGAGGTGACCTGTGACTTGAAATTTTGTGTGAAGGTGTCAAATTGATGCCCGGTAAGGTACCCAAAATTTGGCGGCGCTGCGCGCCGCCGTTTTCTCGCTATTTAAGAAAAACCACAGGGGGGGGCCAAAATGGTCCCCCCCCCATCAGGGCGCGGGTTAAACTATCAGCGCCCATTGTCTCTTTGTTTTAGAATTTGTGAAGAAAGTAGTTGTGTAGCAGCTGAAGTCTGACACGAGCAATGAGCATTACCGCAAATTACAATTCCTGAGAGAGCAGAGGTTGATCCTCTAGTTATACTATACCTGCAGAGTGGAACAAATATGAAGCTATGCACTGTGCTAAGTCTGATATGGTCTGATTACTGTGACTGTGGACTTTTTTTCTGTGGACTGTGATTGAAAGACTGTTCCGCGTACTTACTGTGTTTAGAGGACTTCGATTGGAGGACTCTGTTTGACAGGCTGTTTTGCACGGACTGCGATTTGTGGTTTGTGCTCGAAGAGTGTGTGCTGTGGGCTGAGTCGTCAAATTGAGCTGTCTCCCAACAGAGCGCCATGACTGACTGACGTGGGTCCTTAGCACGCCAATGTCGTTCCAATGCAGACCTTACCCACTCTGACCGTGAGACAGCGGGTCGGCAGTGACCGCTACCCCTCCCCTCCCTGGCTCCTCCCTCTGCCATGGCAGCCGCAGGGCCAGAGATGCTCCGGTCACGTGACCGCCCGACGACTCGCGCCGCGCGCGCCCTATAAATGTGAAGGGTCGACCCCAGCACAGTGAGACGTGCAGTGCAGGTGGCAGAGATAGCAGCTCCCCGATCGCAGAGAGACACACAGTCACACAAGGTGAGTGCATCGGCGCCCACGATGTAGTCAAAAGCTTGGTTATCAATGGAGAGAGATAGGCACCTACTTTGTGCTAAAAGCCTTCTTTGTAAATGAAAACGGGTACAAAAGTTGCTCGTTGCAGCCGTTGGCCATGTACTAGAGATGTGAATCGGATACCAGCTTTTTTGTATACCGATACCAAACCGATACCAACTTGGTAATTGGTATTTCGATCCCAATGTTTTTGGTATTTTGTCGGTATTATGAATCCTCCGTAATGTATAAGAGTTTGTGAATTTGGTAAAAAGCTGGTATTTCTATCATATTCCCTAGTTGGTTCGGTATCAGTACTTTCCCATGGTTTTGGTCGGTATTTGGTTTGCTGTCAGTATCCCAATTTTTTGTGACTTACATCCAGGGCTGCGGAGTCGGAGTCGGAGTCAGAGTCGGAGTCGGTCGGAGTCGACAGGTTTGACCGGAGTCGGAGTCGGAGTCGGAGTCGATTTTAGAAACCCGAGCCGGAGTCGGAGTCGGAGTCACCGAAAATCTGTCGACTCAGCAGCCCTGCTAGGTCTGCGAAGTCGGAGTCGGGAGTTGGAGTCGGTCGGAGTCGACAATTCTGCCCGGAGTCGGAGTCGGAGTCGGAGCTGGTTTTTGAAAGCCGGAGTCGGAGTCGGAGTCGGAGTCGCCGAAAATCCATCGACTCCGCAGCCCTGCTTACATCACTGCCTTGTACTTAAAAACAAAAACAATACGTATTTTCGTTCGAACTTTGTAAGCTAAAAATGTGCAAGATGTGTGTCCATAAAGTCTGTATTACGTGCGGATACACTGGTGCTTCTATGTATGCGTCATCGTAAATTTGACCGATCGGAAAATTGCGGATTGTCGGTACAGGTTGGGTGCCAAAGGATATGGTAAAATAGTCCTGTTCCACTCGAGCCCAGTAATCTGCAGATGGTCCTACGGGCCACAAACCGCAGACCATTCCGGTCGGAAATATCGCACATCCAGCACCGGAGCAACTGTGTGTGCTATGTCAATCAAAACTATTGAATTTCCACACCTTTACAGTCGATTAAAGCTAGCGCTTCTATATCCTACACAATGCCTAAATACCTAATAAGTTTCATTTATGACAGCCCAAACGCCTACCATTTTGATTTTTGATACAAAGCAAAAAAAAACTGAGGATAAGGTGTAACGTCTAAACCAGAAACAAATTACTTCTCTCTTCTGATCTACAAAACTGCATAACGCAATTTCATTAACTTAATCACACTTAGTTCAAGGCTTCAACAAGCGCATGAAGGCCCATTGAAATCATTTACTGGCCTACCCTCCCTGCCTTATCGCCTCTCCATATATAGTACACTTAGGCACAGCCAATATCTACCCGCGTTCAAGCGTTTCCGCTCCCCAAGTTAGGCTGATGATAACCGTTTTTACGACGGACTGTCTGGCGAATGCACCTGATTTGATCAAATCCTGACCAAATCTCTTTCACAACAAATATCCTCGTTTCATGAACTTATTTCAGTGTTTTAATAAAAAAGAAAATGCCTGATAATTAAACGATGAGGCGTATAAGCATCTGGGCAACTCAAATTGATAAGTTTTTAAAAGACAACGGACCTAATTTGACCATATTTGCACCAAATATGCATCTAACCTGCATTAAATGTGTACCAGATGGCCGTCGTGAAAGCGGCAATAATCCGGTCTGTTGTATGCCAACTCACCCTCGTATCTGTCTTTCTCGACTGCAAGCATAATGATTGGTTAACACTAACTTAGCCCTCAGGTAACTGGGCATTATTTTCATCGAGTTATGTTAACGGCCTTCTTGTTCAGGTCTCGCTCCCGAATAGTGTCAACTATTTGCTACCGTCTCGCTGACCTAGCCTCGTTTTCCAGATGGCCCGGGTACGATCCGCTCTGCTGCTGGCATTCGCCGCTGTTGTCGTCTCCTCACATGTTGTAAGTACAGATTCTCCCCTTCACGAAGAACCATCCACAAAGTAACTCTTCTGAAATTGCGTACTCTCTCAATTCAATCATTCAACTAATAACTCACGTACGCATGACGCTAATGAATTGCCGTCAATTCAACCGCACGGCTCATGAACACGAAATACTGAATAAAACTGAACGGCGGAGCTTCATCGGTCGGCTACGCAATGGGTGCGTGAGCCATCCTTGCCTCACGCGGTTGGTTACCTCATCTCTCGAGAGGGCCTGCTCCACTGCCCAGCTGTCTGCCGCCGGCGGTGTCGACAGGCGGCGTGTGACCCCTGCACTTCCCGGGCAGCGCAGGTCACCTGGAGACGCCCCCTGCCGTCAGCCGGTGACCCCTGCCGCCGCAGAGAGCTCAGAGGAGCAGCTATGATCGCCCGCGCGCGCCAGACGACGGAAAAGCGGCTCCCCTTGACATTGAACTTCCAACCGCGCAACTGCGGCCGAGCGAGACCTCTGTGGAAGCCGCGTTTTTGTCAGCATAGTCAGCATAGTCCCGACCAACATAGGTCGGGACTCGTCAACGCTGTAGTGAACTTTAACGCTAGGATGCTTTGGGTGCTGACACCTAAACACCGCGACGGTTACAAAATGTAGCCACAAATTGGATAAGCCATGGCATCGGCATTCATCAATTCATCAGTTTGTGGTTTTACGGAATCCGTTGCTTTGTAAATCCCCTTGTACCCAGTTAGTCGCTAAACAGTAAGCATGCGTAGGAATGTGGATGCTCTCAGCGGAGGAACAACGTCCATGGTTCCACCATTGTATCCGAAAGCTCGTTCTGCAACAAACACGGAAGCGCAGCCTTGAGAATGCTGCCGGATCTGGTCTGGAAAAATGGCCAAATTACCGCAATGCGTTTAGCGGGGCGCACGCAATTGCATACGATGGCCGGTCCCTCGCCAACATCTTCCCATGGCTGATGGACGATGGTCAACAATAACGACAGGTATTCCAGACGGAGGCCGCCGTCCCATGGGACTTGTTGCGGGCGCATCCGTCGCCTTGCCGTTTCAAAATACCACCCATCGAAAATGTCCGACTGGGACGGCGGCGGGCGACCTTCCCGGTGAGATGTTTGGGTCGTCGGACGGGCAACGTGCCTATTACGGCGGCCATTACCCTGATGTGCATGCGTCCGAGGGCTGCGTGGTTCCCTGGGGCCGGACGGCGTGTCGTTAGTTTCCACTTATCGTCCGGCAAGCCAAGGCTGTCGCCGCTTCTTCCATTGACCCGTGACACCGCAGTGATGAAACGCCTCTGGCGGTCGGCCGGGCGGCGACGGCGCACGTCACTCGCGTCACGGTCCGGGGCGTCACGGCGGCCGCGGACGTCACTCTGCCTCGACGGCTGGACACGGGACGAGTCGGCCGTCCCAATCACCTGGGAACCGGCGCCGGCCCGGCTCCTCACGCCGCCCGTCTCCGGCCCGTCTCCGTGTGACAGTGGCGTCACTGTCCGTGACGGCGGAGGCGTGACGCGCGTGTGACACACGCAAGGACGAAGCAGGAGCGTCTCTGACTCTCGTGCCTGCTGGCTGCTTTGGTATGATTTGGTAATGGCGCCGGTATGATGCATCAGGCGATCGTGGTCCTCATAGCTAAAAAGAACGGAAGAAGAGAGAAGGAAATCAAATTCACTTTCTGATCCCTTCAGATGTCATTCTGTTCTCTGAGTTGGGTCATTTCTGGAAGTAGAAAGCTGATATCTCCTGAGATGACTTGGCAGTCTCCTCCACCGGATAAGGTCATGTGGAGCATCGTCTTTCAGCTATCCAGTACATCAGAGGAGTGTCAGACATTGCCTGTGACCCTCGGCTGACCTCGTCTGACCCAGAGTGACCTCCAGGTCCCCGCGGCCTCTGGAGTAATATCTGCCGGCTGTGTGACCTGCGGGTCAGCCTTTCACCGGCGCCGGGCCGGCCACCGCGCCGCACTGCCTGCCGCCCGACCCCGGGGTCAGCGGAGGGCACCGCCGCGGGCGCCGTCCCGCCAGAGCACGTCCGCCGGCACCGCCGAGCACGGCCCAGCCAAGGACACGGCCACTGAAAGCGAAAGCATCTGCCAGCCGGCGGCGCGCAGAGAATAGCCCGTTTGTTGCCGTAACTGCCCTGGGAACAGACGCTCCGGACGCCGACTAATGGATGACGGAGATCGCCCCCGCACACTCACGGCCGAGGAAGAAAATGGACGGCCGTTTAACGTCCAATTAGCAGATGTGCAATTAGTGTTCGGTTCAAGTGTTCACTATCTAGTTTCTTTTGTTAAGTAATATTTAACGTGAGATGGCTGTACTTTATACTCGAGAGCAATGAGTCACGATTACTTTTATAGGGCACCTATTCTTCTTAGCATTTTTTAGCCTTTCCTGACCAACGTTTTGCATTGGTGTGATGTGATATATTTACATATAACGGCACACAGAGCCACGTTTGCCTTTATCCCTAGGTGATGTTTTCTGGGCATACCTACTTTTCATTTTGATTAGCGCTCAGCAGGTGTGCGGCCAATTTGCGCGTGCTGTAACCTCTGTCGGGGGCCCTGACCGCGCTGACGAGGGTCACCACGGTTTGGCAGGGCCTGAGTAGTGTGACGAGCCGGCCCGTGACCCACCGAGACGCGGCGTGACGCAGCCGCGACACGGCCGTGACGCCTCGACAATGCACGGCGCTCCGTCTTCCGTCACGGTAGCGTCACGGGTGGTCCTGTGGTGCGTCACGGCGCGCCGGTGCGGTGCCGCCGCCGCCGCCGCCGCCGCTCCTTACGCAACTGGCGGCCGGCGCGGACGGGTGCGGGCGGGGCGCGGTCTGGCGGCGGGCGGGGAGCCGGCGTGGCTCGCCGCGTGCCCCCTGACCCGGCCCACACCCAGCCGATGATTAGGGCGCAAGGTGTGGTAACGGTGTAGCGCGCTCCCGGCCAGAGATGCGGCAAACCACGCCCTAAATGTGAGAGATGTGAGACGCTCTCCCTGTGAGAGACCCGCCGCGCCCTGTGAGAGAAACACGCCACACTCCGCGCCCTGACACACCCGCAGCAGGAGACACGCCCCTAGACTCGGTGACACAGTTACCCCCGCTGACACCAGCACCGAAACCGCTCATTGTGCTGCTCTAAAAACGGGCTAATTGTCGTGATGCATATGAACAACAATACAGCTCCTGATAGAGATGCATTACGGTCCGGCCCGCTGTCTTTTGGCCATCACCTCGCGCTGCTGCTAAATACGCTAACGCCCGTTTGTCCCCTTCCTCAGGCGAAGCGGCAAGTCCCCGAAGAGTACCCGACGTACGCTCAGGTGCCGGACGATGTCGCCTTCACGTGCGATGACAAACTGCCAGGCTATTACGCCGACGTGGATTATCAGTGCCAGGTACGGCTCAGCAGGGCAGTTTGTATTAAAGTCAAATCGACAGGTAGAGCATTGTGCCACCCGCTACTGACAGCGGACACTGCTGGAAAAGCAGCAAGCGTATAGCAATTGTACCCACTCTGATGTAGAGTTATTATTGTCGTATAACTCGGCATCTTACGTGATGATATCCCAAGCATGTCACCATGCCGTTTGCTTCAGTCAATCACATTTCGTCAAACTATCGTGACATAAGCGACCGATAAATGTAATAGTTTCGTTTTAAGTACTGGTGCATAGTTTCACGACACGGAACCATGTTCACATAGCTGATGAGTGTTGACAGTGATTGACATGGGTGTCAAACGTGAGCTGATTGTAATCTGAGCGCTGTTGCGTTCGGCAGGTCTGGCACTGGTGCACTCCTCAGGCCACCCTGTACAGTTTCCTGTGCCCCAACCAGACCGTCTTCAACCAGCAGTACCGGTCAGTATACAGCGCTGCCTCGTTAGTAGTCTCGGTAGTAGTAAAACTTTGATAGAGATGCCAGAGAGACACTAGTTACTTCAGATAGACATGCAGTCGTTACATAGCTACTCCTCTCTAATGCTAGAAAATGCAAGATATTTCTTATCATGAATATTTTCATCAACCTGACCCTATGCCAGTGCTGGCTATATTCTCTGATTGACGTCTGTCGAATTTGGGTGCGTCATCATCCCCTCCCACTTCTTCGGCAGCGTCTGCGACTGGTGGTACAACGTCGACTGCCCCAGCGCCACCAGCCAGTACGTCAACAACGAGGAACTCTACAAGGATGCCGAGGGCAACCCCATATAATCAGCGGGCCCGCCGGCCCCAGTCAGTCAGTGTGTGCGGCGTGCGCGCGGTGTGCCACGGCGAAATTCCGAGAGCAGCTAGACGCTTATAGAACACTAGAGGCTCGGCAAAGACAGCATGTTTGAAGAGCGTGTGAGAGCTGCGCGGAGTGGGGTATGCGTGATGCTGGTCGAGACAGCAGTGGTTTTGTTTTGAGGAGTGCCGTTGTCTCAAAGTGTGCTTTGCAGTGATTTTTTTTCATAAAAAGGCGATAGAAAACAATGAATGCATATATTGTCCAGTTAGCTTTTGCAAATGAAATCGCTTAATTCAGCATTGCTCTTAGACCCAGACACTTGTATAATGTACTTTGTAGTAGTTTTTGCAGTCAATCGCTTTACGGAGACTTTGTGTTATTGTTGCTGATGAATAGTGCAACTGCTGTAAGCCCGACTCGTTTGTGCTTACATACCGGCTGTATCGCTGGCTAGCGCACGGTTTCTTTCATACGACTGACGTGTCGGTCAAAATACACAAATGCTCTGACACAGGCTTTCACTTAGAGCACCTATCCATTCAGAAGTCAGGTTTTAAGTTTTCTTTTTTCATGGAGCAGCTGCTGCACATTATAAGCAAAGAAGAGAGACAACTGAACTGAATACATGTATCACATTGAAGCACTAATGGAAGTGATAGTTGTGAATTGTTAATAGCAATGAGCCAAAGCATATTTAACCCTCGCCCTGGCAGGGGTCGATGCGACCCCCCCCCCAAGGTTTTTCGAAGATAGCGTAAAAACGGCGGTGCGCAGCGCCGCCAAATTTGGCACAGCATATAGGACAACTTTTTTACATATGACCTGAAAATTTCAGGTCTGGGTGACCTTGAAGATCATTGTCAAATTTCATTTTTTGCGCCTGTCCAACTCACAGATTTTGACTCATTTCCTTCAAACTTTCAGGGTGTGCTAAGTTCACCGAGTTGTATAATATATAGTTAAGGTTTTTTGATGTCACTGACCTGAGGTCCGTTAGAGGTCATTACGTCGCAATGTTAAGCCTATGGGAAAATACTAAATTCGGAAAATATTGGAGATATCCGCTTCGTTCTATCACTTTTGTGCTTTGAAACCACAGTACTTAACAGCAAGTCACTTGGTGCTTCTTTGTTTGGTGTACTTATCCATGGGCCAGGTCAAATGACGTCAACTGAGGTCAAATGACGTTTTTGCCAATAACTTTGCACATAATGACGCTAGAGCTTAAAAAATGGTGTCATTGTGTTTCTTGTGATCAACCGAATCGAATGATATGCATGCACACACAGAAATATTGAGCGGAAAAACGGTGTAATTGAAAGTACCAAAAGGAACATTTTTTTGGTGTAAAATTACTCTGTTTTCTGCGTAAAAGAACACTTATATGTGTGTTTTGCTAGCTTCGGAGTGCTTCACTATTGTGTAGGAGAACCGCTTTCAGTGTACCTTTACCGCGGATCTCGCGTTACATTTACGCACAAATATGTGTTTTTGGTAAAAAGTACCAAAAGGAACACTCGCGTGGTAATCGTACACAAATTCATGGCGGTAAATTTACACAAATATGACGGTTATTATAACGATTTTTTTCTGGTAAAGCTAATGTTGGGCCCGCAAAATTTGTAACGCAAGCGACACACGGCGGGACGTTGTCGCCAGCCGCGAGCCTTAGCTAAATGTAACGAAACATTGTGATGCTCAATGCCTACCTCATGCTGCAAACACGTTTGTTTGTTTGTCGTTTATTATTAAGAATCGACATGACATCTGACGGAAATAAAAGTTAGATTAGCGTATATATACCTTATGATGTATATAAGCTGATATTTCACAACGCATATGGGCGCCGCTACAGGCCGCAGCCATCGCCCCTCTCCCGTCAACTGCCCGTAATTGATAAATAAAAAATATGTATGTCATCTGTACGCACTACTTCACTGTGCCAAAATTATCGTTCATTTAATTAGCCATCGGCTCTCTGTTGCCTATCTGGCAAAATATTAGCATACCTATACCTAATTAACCCTAGAAAAGCATGAAAGTGCATCCATTATTTTCATAACACGACAGCAGTTCAGTTGAAAAATTACAAGCCCACCTTAGCACTCCGACAAAGCTGGATAATTTCCAGCAGCTCCTCCAATGTCGCTCCGCTTCAAATTTCCGACTCGGTCTTGATTGCAGTTATCAGACGATGACCACAATGCAGTATTTCACTTATTATTCACTTATTCACTCATTACTCAGCTTATTATCCAACTAGATAAACACCACAGCACTGTTTTATCTCACTGATGTCACAAGAATGGGCAAACTCACTCTGCGCACTGCAGCCACAACACTCCCCCGCCGGCCCCCGCGGTCCCCGGCGCACAACTGACAGATTGCGAAAATGGCGCCGCCGCCGTCAGCATTTAGCTCAAAATTTCGCTAAATTTACACGGGTTGACGTAAACGAACGGTGCTCTGGATGTGTACCGCAATTACCAGTGTGACACAACACTCATTCGCTTATGGATACACTTGCTTTGCATGAAAACATATCAGTCAGGTATTTGAACATCTGTTTTGCTGTTACATTATCCTGTTTTGCGTAAAGATGCTTGTGTGGTGTAATAAAACTGCCGATGTTTGTTAGTTAACCAATAAACGTCGTATAAAAACAAACTTATTCTTGATGCCTTTACTTATTATGGCGTTGTGCGACGGATGTCGGATACCTTGCTTATCACGTAAATACTTAAACTAAAGATATTTTACTACGTGAAGCAGAACTTTGAAGCTATTTGAACTATTTACGAGTATATTGAACTTGACATCGCTCAATATTTCTGTGTGTGCATGCGATATGATGCACTTTGGTTAAGTTGAACTTAATTAGTTAATCAAAGTTTACCGTAAAGTGGGGCTATTTGAAACAGATTTTACAGTTTTTGGCCTCTCCCTTTAACCCGGCAGTTGCTGGGGTATTTCGCCACCCACCGTTTGCTGGGGGGGGGGCGTTAAACGCCCCCAGCCGATAACTCGAGAACCAATAGGCGCAGCGAAACGCACGAGGCGGCAAATGAAAGAGCGCGGCGAGACGATTCAGATGAGTACTTAAAAGTTGAACTTTGAGGTCACAAGTCAGGTCAATGTCAGGTCAAACACCGGAAATCGGACTTTCAGTAGCATGGACTTCAGGACTTCGCAATGGGCGCCTCTCGTCATAAACTCTGTCAAAACGGTGCACAATCCATCATATAAGGCTTACAAGAGTGTCAGCTCCATGTAGGGGTCAGTCAAGCAAAGTTCAGGGTCAAGGTCAGATCAACCGGGTAGGCACATATCCCCGAAAATCAAAACTGATATTCGCAGCCTCTGACACATGTTTTATGGGTAATTTGGAGCAGGGGCGGATCCAAGGGGGGGGTCACATGGGTCATGGCCCCCCCCCCCCTTGAGGCCCGGGGGCCCAAAGACCTGCCAGGGGCACCACCGGCCTATCAGGGGTATCACAGTCCTGACAGGGGCACCACAGGACCGCCAGGGGCACCAAAGGCCTAGCAGGGACACCACGGGCCTGGTGCCCCTGGGCCCTGACAGGACTGTAACGCCCCTGACAAGCCTGAAGTGTCCCCGGCAGGCACGTGGTGCCCCTGACAGGCCTGAGGCGCCCCTGCAAGGCCGGTGGTGCCCCTGCAAGGCCTGTGGTGTCCATGGCAGGCCTGTGGTGCCCTTGCTAGGCCTCTGGTGCCCCTGACAGGCTTGTAATGCCCCTGGAAGGACTGTGGTGCCCCTGGGCCCTGACAAGCCTGAGGTGCCCCTGACAGGCCAGTGGTGCCCTTGCTAGGCCTGTGGTGCCCCTGGCAGGCCTCTGGTGCCCCTGACAGGCTTGCGGTGCCCTTGGAAGGACTGTAGTGTCCCTGGGCCCTGACAAGCCTGAGGTGCCCCTGACAGGCCCGTGGTGCCCTTGTTAGGCCTGTGGTGCCCCTGGCAGGCCTCTGGTGCCCTTGCTAGGCCGCTGGTGCCCCTGGCAGACCTCTGGTGCCCTTGCTAGGCCGCTGGTACCCCTACGCCCGGAGAGGACTGGTGCCCCTGAAAAGTCTGAAGTGCCCCTCGGCAGGCCCGTGGTGACCCTGACAGGCCCAAGGTGCCCCTGCGAGGCCGGTGGTGCCCCTAGCAGACCTCTGGTGCCCCTGGCAGGTCTGTGGTGCCCCTGGCAGGTCTGTGGCGCCCCTGGCAGACCTGTGTTGACTGGTGCCCCTGCTAGGTCGCTGGTGCCCCTCACAGACCTGTGGTGCCCCTGGGCCTTGATAAGCCTGAGATGCCTGGCTATGACAGGCTCGTGGTGCCCCTGATAGACCAGTGGTGCCCTTGCTAGGCCTGCAGTGCCCCTGGCAGGCCTCTGGTGCCCCTGCTACCCCTGCGCCCGGAGAGGACTATGGTGCCCCTGAAAAGCCTGAAGTGCCTCTCGACAGGCCCGTGGTGCCCCTGGGCCTTGACAGGCCCAAGTTACCCCTGCGAGGTCGGTGGTGCTCCTGGCAGGCCTCTGGTGCCCCTGGCAGGTCTGTGGTGCCCCTGGCAGGCCTGTGTTGACTGGTGCCCCTGCTAGGCCGCTGGTGCCCCTCACAGGCCTGCGGTGCCCCTGGAAGGACTGTGGTGCCCCTGCCCCTAGGGGTGCTCATGGGCCCAACAGGTCCGTTGTGCCCCTGACAGGCCTGTCGTGTATACTTGCTAGACCTGCGGTGCCCCTGCTCCCTGGCAGGCCTGTGGTGCCCCTGGCGGGCCTGTGGCGCCCCTACAAGGCCGTAGGTGCCCCTGGCAGGTTTGTGGTGTCCCTGGAAGGACTTTGGTGCCCCTGACAAGCCTGAAGTGTCAAGAACAGACCCTTTAGACGCCAGGGTCAAGTTCGTCGGACTGACAACGATTTGCTTACCTGATAACGTTCCTGGTAAGTACTCATTACTCAGCGTCCACAACATATATACACATAGCACATTCATATATACTTGCTTACAATTGGTAAATGTGGTTGTGGCTAAGAGTTAAGATACTGACTAAAAAAAAAGAAAAAAAACTGAAAATGGGGGCACCACCAAAATGAAGTGGACGAAATCCGTTGAGTTTTTAACCCACGAGCCGCTGGGGGGGGGGGCATAAAGTTGCCCCCCCTTTACGTTTTGTAAAATATCTCCGAAACCTGATGAGCTACGAACGTGAAACTTGGCATAGCTTCAAATGAATACCTAGGCAATGTTTGAGGAAAGTTTGGTGATTGTAGCACCTAAGATGACGTCACAGTGACGTCATAAAGTTTTGTCGTTTTCCGATATGGACAGTTTCTGATGACGCTGAGCATGAAACTCGACTGTAAATGAACTAGACAGCACCTGCTGTCGTCCTAAAACATCTTACTACACTTCCATCTAGTTTCTGACCAATAATCGGCCCTTTATATTCGGTCCCATATATGTGATGCATCGTGAGGAATATGAGAGTCGCAAATCTATAATTTCACTTATGACGT